ATTTTTATGGTCCAGGATTCAATCCAGGATCATGCATTGAATTTAGCTATCATGTCTCATTAGTCTCCTTTAACATGAACAGTTCTTCATTCTTCTTTGTCTTTTGTGACCTTGACTTTTTGAAGAGTCCCTCAGTTTGTGTCTCTATGATATTACCTCATGATTAGATTTTGGCAGAAATACCAGAGAAGTGGTGTCGCACACATCCAAAGCTATGTGATATTGATTGGTCCAAATATTCGTACTATCAATTGTGATCACTTGGTTAACGGAATGTCTGCCAGGTTTCTTGACTGTAATGATAACTATCTTTCCCTTTGTAATTAATACATGTCTTGTGGGGAATTCTATCTTTTACCAGATCAATATACTATTATTATTTTAATTAATCAAATTTTACCTACATTTGCCCACATTTTACTAACTTCTTAGTTCATTTCTTCTTGCATCTTAGCTCTTCTAACTGGGATCACTTTCCTTCTGCCTAAACTATATCCTTTAATATTTAATATTTCCTCTAGTGAGGGCTCACTGGCAACAGCAGATTCTTATAAGCTTTTTTTTTTTTTTTTTTTTGAGACAGTCTCACTCTATCCTCCAGGCTGGAGTACAGTGGCACGATCTCAGCTCACTGTAACCTCCGCCACCCAGGTTCAAGCAATTCTCATGACTCAGCCTCCCACATAGCTGGGATTATTGGCATGCGCACAACGCCCAGCTAATTTTTGTATTTTAAGTAGAGAGAGGGTTTTGCCATGTTGGCCAGGCTAGTCTCAAACTCTTAGCCTCAGGTGATCCACCCGCCTCAGCCTCCCAAAGTGCTAGGACTACAGGTGTCAGCTACCACACCTGGCTGCTCTTAAGTTTTCAATTGTCTGAAAATGCTTCCAACTTTAATTCATTCTAGAAAGATATTTTAACTGGATATATAATTCTAAGTTAATAGTTTCCATTCTAAGAACATTGAAGATATTATTCCACTGTGTTCTGGCTTTTATAACTGCAGCTGGAAAGTGAGCTATCAGATTAACTGCTATTTCTTCAAGGGCAATCTCTTAATCTCTCTGTTTGAAGTCTCCTCTGTCTTTGAAATCATTATGATGTGCTTAGGAGTAGATTTCTTTTTATTTATCCTAACTGGGATTTTCTGTGGGTTAGTCATTTTCACAAGTTCTAAAACTTTTTAGTAATGATCTCTTGGAATATTATGTCTGCTTCATTCTCTCTCTTCTCTCCTTTATGAATTTTCATTAGATTAAAATTAGACATGATTACTCTATCCCTCTCTCTTAATTACCGTTTCAAGTGCTCTATCTTTGAGTCTTATCTTGCATTTTGGGCAATTTCTTCACATCTATCTTCTAGCTTATCAGTTTTCTCTTCAGTTGTGCCAAATCTGCTGTTAATTTATTTTGGCATTCTTAGCAGGTATGACTCTGCTATCTGTCATTTCTCCTAGCTCCTTCTATTTTGTTTCACTGGGGGACTTGTGATTTCTGATTGTGAGTCAATACTTCTTGTAACTTTTCTGATGGGACTCCACTGAGACCTAGACTGAAGGTGGGTCCTCCAAAGTAGATTTGCAGTTGCTTCTGTCAGGTGCCTAGGCAACTACCGGCCCAGGATCAATTTAAGCTATATTTTCTTTATGTCGTTTTTTGAGACCTTCCAGGAACTATGAAATCAGTCTGGGAATGAATATGTGTGAGAGTCAGTTTGCTGTTATAAATTTTTAGGGAGATAGTTTTCTGCCTCCACTTGGCACCAAAGTATGGGTCAGGTTACGTTTTCTTTATACTCTTGGAGTGGGTGGTGGGCAAACTGATTACTAGCTCCCCACTTAGGGTCTCAGCTTTAGGCAGGAGTCTTTGTGTTCCCCTGTTTATATGAGTCCTGTGCTTTGTCTTTGTCTTCTGTAGCTCACTTTGCTACGAAACCCAAAGCTCAAGGTCACTGGGTTCAGCAAATGCCTTCAAGGTGGAGCAGAACTATCAAATAGATACGTCTTACCAGTAACTTCTAAAGCTCATTTAAGGCCAGGCACAGTGGCTCATGCCTGTAATCCCAGCACTTTAGGAGGCCAAGGCAGGCACATCACCTGAGGTCAGGAGTTCGAGATCAGTCTGGCTAACATGGTGAAACCCCGTCTCTACTAAAAATACAAAAATTAGCTGGACGCGGTGGCACACACCTGTAATCCCAGCTACTCGGGAGGCTGAGGCTGGAGAATAGCTTGAACCCAGGAGGTGGAGGTTGCAGTGAGCTGAGATCACATCACTGCACTCCAGATCAGGTGACAGAGAGAGATTCTGTCTCAAAAAGAAAAACAGGAAAAAACAAAAAACAAAAAAAAACTCATTTAATCTCCACCTACCCCAAATAGTGAAACTGTAGTACTTATAGCTATCATCAAATCAACAAAGTTGACAAGCACTGGTTAGAAAGTAAAAATAACAGAATTACAAGAACTGGATGGAAGTAACTTCTGGACAAGTTTCATACATTGTAAATACTATTCCTCCAAGATGATATTAATAACTTCTAGACATCTCAAATAGGAAAATAGTACACTCAAATTTTAGGTAAGACTCATAGTGAAGTGATACATGTGATATAACATTAGTCACGGACTTTCTTGATCAGGAGAAGCTTGACATTTGGGGAAAGGTCACAAGGGCAAAGATGAAAGATGGTGATGCAAAAATCAATTGAGTTCTTTTTAAAAAATCCAGTTTGTATGCCAACATTCAGAGTAGGGTTATTCATAACAGCCAAAAGGTGAAACAACTCAAATATCCATCAATCAACCAATGGATAAACAAAATATGGTATCTCCATATAATGGACTATTATTCAGCCATATAAAAGAATAAGTATTGACACATGCTACAACATGGATGGATTTTGGAAGAAGCCAGTCACAAAAGACCATATATGATATGATTCCATCTATATGAAATGTCCAGAACAGGCAAATCAGCCAGAAAACAGATTTATGGTTACTTAGGGCTAGGGAAATTGACACATAGGTAACAATAAGTAAAGGGTACTGGGTTTCTTTTTGAGGTCATGGAAGTATTTTAAACCGACTATGGTGATGGTTGCACATATCTGTGAATATACTAAAAGCCACTTAATGGTACACTTTAAATGAGTATGATATGTGAATTATATCTCAACAAGGCTTTTAAAAAGACTAGCAATGTTTCATTAGAAGAAATCGGGGTTTAAATTAGAATTATCATTTTGCCTTTTACAAAATCACCATTAGAAAAAAAGAGGCTGGGAGAGGGGAGGAGGAATCATGCATCTAAAATTAGGACCCATGGCTTAGGAAAATTACACCTCAAATAGAATCATAAAGAAAATCATGAGGATCAAGCTTTCTGTAAACCAAACTCTCTGCCCATCTAGCTCTTGGCCCTTGGACTAATAAATAAGTTACAGGGCTGGATGCAGTGGCTCACACCTCACACCTGTAATCCCAGTACTTTGGGAGGCCAAGGTGGGCAGATCATCTGAGATCAGGAGTTCAAGACCAGCCTGGCCAACATGGTAAAACCCTCTCTCTACTAAAAATACAAAATTAGCTGTGCATGGTGGTGTGCACCTGTAGTCCCAGCTACTCAGGAGGCTGAGGCAGAAGAATCGCCTGAACCCAGGAGGCGGAGGTTGCAGTGAGCTGAGATCATATGCCTTTGCACTCCAGCCTGGGCAACAAGAGTGAAACTCCGCTTCAAAAAAAAAAGTTACAGGAAAAGTTTTCTTTTCAAATCATAAAGTCACTTATTTTATATTATATCATGTCTCACACATCTAATATAGTATCAAAGTAGTATATCCAGAAAAGACAAGAAATAGATTCTTTTCTTACAGGAGTAGAGAATCTGTTTTTACACAAGAGGCTACAGATCCAGAGAAAAAAGGCAACTGAGTTGAATAAATGCCATTTAAATTAAGGCCTTAATTAAGAACGCCAAAATGAATAGCATGGCTCTTTCCACAAGGACCTCAAATCCTAGTGGGTAAAGGCAAGCAAGAGAGACCTTTATAGAACAATGTGATTTGAGCTACAATAAAGGAAAGCAGAAGGGGGAGTGTGTATCTAAGAAGACATGCTAGAGGTCTGCCTGTGAGAAGTGAGTAAGAGCTGGCTAGGGAAGAAGAGCAATCTACGAACCCCAGCAGGGAGAATCCGAGCAAAGCCAGGAGAGACAGCCAGCCTGGCATGGAAATGGCTGGATGTGGAGTGTGCAAAGCAATGAGAAAGAAGCTCAATAGGAAGTCAGGTGTCAGTCATGAAGGCCTTTCATGTCATGTCATGTCATGCCAAGTAAGGTGTTGGGTCTGCTTCTGAAGGCAGTGGGGAGTCCTGAAACATTTCAGTAAGGGCATAATATGATCCCTTATAGCTTTAACTTCCATGAGTTTCTGATCTTGTGGGGCCATATCTGCATCACAGTCACTAATCTCATCTATCCAACCCTCTCTCTTTCACTCTCTATCTCTGTCACACACACCACAAAATCACTATGCACCAGGGATTAGAATCCATATTTCTTTATTCTCAGTTTGAGATTCTCCTTTTGATAATATATGTCTTTGATAACTATATTTCTGATAATATTGAGAGAGAGACTTAAACTATATTGCTTCTTTACACAATCTACAAATCTAAAACACAATTCAACTGCCATCCCACTAAAGCTTATTCTGAACTTACAGGTATTGTGCAGCTGTCTGCGTCTCGGGATGTAAATCCAACATTGCCTAAGTGAAGGATGCCAGCAAGTATTCGGAAAATTCCCATTTGATGAGATTCACTAATTCCTGAAACAAGAGAGTGAATGAACAAGTGATTAATTTCAGAATAGCAACTAAACAATTATAGTAGACATTTTTAAGCCTATTGTTAATTCCTGAATATTGGCAGATGTTGTGCATATTATAATGTGTCATAGCTAACAACACTTTCGTCTTTGTTGACATTAACACATTAGGCAGTTTAGCATCATGGATGGATAACATGGCTGCTGACTGTGGCTGATCTGGCTTGAGACCTGGCTCTGGTACAGACCTATCATCTCAAATGGACAGGTAACGTCAGTATTCTATGCCTCCATTTTCTCATTTGAGATATGAAAATAATAGTGACTATTTCAAAGTATGTGAAGATTAAATGAGATAATGCACATAGCATACTTAATACACAATGTGACATACAGTAAGTGCTAAACAAACTATTGTCATCATTGTCACACACTGGGTTTAAAATTAATAGTATTACCATTTCTATTTATCTCTGCTCCAAATACAGCCCAATAAAGCTGTTACTTCTTAAGGCTGTTTAAAAAGTAATTATTTAATCACTTCTTTAAACTACAGACCAAGTATAAGTCAAAGACACCAAGATTAGAAGTGTTTGGGCTGGTGCTATATCCCAGCCTGATGAGTATGCGTCCAAATACAGCATCAGAGCAGAAGTTGAAGGATAAGGCAAGATGAGAAAGCTGGACAGCTTTCGGCTTTTATCAGATCTGGCTTCATTTTTAAATAATATAAGAATCTCATGAAAATTAGATATAATTGCATGCAAATAGAAGCAGTGAAATCATTTCCAAATATGTAATCTAAGAAAGGATAATTCAGTACTGACCCTATAATAATAATAATTATTATTTTTTACCATCTCCTGCATTATGACTTTTTTTTTGTTTTTTGACACACAGTCTCACTCTGTCACCCAGGCTGGAGGGCAGTGGTGTGATCTCAGCTCACTGCAACCTCTGTATGGCTTTTTCAAATTCACAATTTACTGTTTACAAATAGATTTAGCCCGAGAAGAAATGCAGCGATTTTCAAACTTTTAATATGCATATGAATCACCAATACATTTTGACAATATGCAGATTATGTTTCAGTAGGCCTGAGAAGGGATTCAGGATTCTGCATTTCTAGCAAGGCCCACAGTGGTCCTGGTCCACACTGTAATTAGCAGTGCTTTTAAATTAAGTTAACTCACCTGAGGGTACTACTCAAAATGCCATCATATGATTTTAAAGTTATTTATATTCTGAGGTTTTTTTTTTTCTTTAAGTTGTTGATGACAAGTTCTAAAGATTAATTTATTCATATGTAGGCCCAACATTTTTTAAATCCCAGAAACAAGATAGTGACATCTGAGCTGCTTCAGAAGTGTTGGAACAGAAAAAAAATGCTGGAATAAACTACATGTAATGTAATATTCTGTCACGATGCCAACTCAGCCACATTTCCCAGCCACAGAAAGATCCCCAAAACCAACCAAACAAACAAACCAAAAGCTCCTACAAAATGCGAGCTTGTAGAGGAGCCCATTTCACTTAGCTTCATGTTTCAGATTTTGTAAAAATTTAAGCAAAGAATTACAAGTAGCCCTCTCCTGATGCCCCAAATATATTTTGAACAGTTTTATTGAAGGCTAATTTGCATACTATAAAATTCACCCATTTTGAGTGTGCAATTCAATGATGTTTTAGTAAATTTACAAAGTTGCACAACTATTACCACAATCTAATTTTAGAACAGTTCTATCACTCCAAAAAGAAACCTCCTGCCCATTTGCTGTCTAAATGTGTTCTATGTGGAATATTAAATCTTTTAGCAATACTCGCCACTTAATATAAAGTCAAGCCAATAATCTAAACAAAGGTTGCTTGAGTAAAAAAGCTATTCCTCAGACGAGCTCAAGAATAAAGTGACATTACCTAGCAAAGTGCAGGCCTGTCTGGTGTGTGCCATCTCCTTTGCATCATCCACTCCTTCAATCACAGGACTGCCTCCTTGTTGCGTGTAATTAAAGTCATCTGCATTTCCTGTAACGAAGAAAAATAAAAGTTTTCTGGTTTATGAAAAAGCCTTGACTTCTACCCTTACGTCCACTCTGAATCAGAGGTGGTGATAGCACAGTTGAGTGTACAGGGTCTAGAGTTTGACTGCCTGTGTTTTCAATTGTATTTTAATAAAAAACTAAAAATTAAATAAAATTTAATTAAATGGGGTAAAATATTTATAGTTTATTTATGTTAATTGGTAAAACAAATAGTCCTTTCCTAAAGGTTTTATTCCAATCTACACACTAGAATAATTTCCTCAAATCCTTTACTCCCCTCATAAGAAACCCTACTGGCCTCTAACAAATCAACTCCTTTAATTTTTTTTTTCTTTTAATCAAGGCAAATATCAAACATATACAAAAGTAGAGAGACTAACATAATGAGCCCTTAGGTACTCATTACTCATCTTAAACAGCCATCTAAAATCACCTCCAGGCCAATACTGTTCCATTTATACAGCTACTTACTCCTTCTCTACCCCATGGGTTATTTTGAAGCCAACTGCTGACTTTTTATCATATTATCCATAAGTATTTCAGTATGAGATAAGCTCCTTTTTAACAAGTAAATTTAGGAACTTGGAAATTAACAGAAAACAATACTAGAACAATAAATTTAATGCCATATTCATACCTAATCGTAGCATTTTAAATTCAGGTAACTTTGCTGAAGCACAAAGCTGATAGAAGATATGATAGTTTCTCTCCTCTTCTGCCTTTGAAATAAGAAGAGTTTTCAATTACAGCATTTTAATCTAAAATTCAGAAAATTCTATCATAAAATAAGATTTTAATATTTAATTATCTCAGTTGGTTAAATAAATTATACTCTCCAATATTTCCTAATACTTATTTCTGATTATTAAATCTTCTGATTTATAGTCTATATGCATATATATGAATATATGTGTGTTGGTCAAATTCAACATAAAATATCGGATAGTAATGCTTTCTGAACTAGTGAACAGCTTGATATATGTCTACAATCATAAGATAATCAGTGCTTTTGGGGGGAAACTAAAACCATTTTTTTTTTTTTTTTTGCCATACTCAATACTATTTTCTAATGGTACCTCTTAGATTCACAGTCTTCCAAATGCTTTGAAAAAAGAATAATCCCATTCTTGCCATATTGTAGACTGGACCATCTACTGTGTTGTTTGTAAGAAAGCCACAAATGTACATCTTCTATATCATTTTAGTTTATACATTTTAAATCAATAACTTTTATAAAATAGAAAATAAATCACATATAAATTGTAAGATAATTTTTCAGTATTTCCTGAGAGTCTTTTCCACACATATATCTAAAAAATACAGTTGCAATAATATTGTTCATACACCTAATAGTTTATCACTATATCCTTGATTTTTACAGTATACTAAGTTGGCTAATGAATCTTATTAATAAGGCCAGGGTCAGGTTTGATGCCCACAGGGGGCTGATGTCTGGAAAAGAAAACCTATTATAGGGACAGAAGCCACTGAACAAATTACCAATATACTAATGACCACAAGCATGATTAAACAAGAGATCAGGTGGTTCAGCATACAGAAACTACAAAAGCCTGTGAGTCTGCAGAAATGCTTAGGTCCTCTTTGTACATAAAGGACAGTACAAGTATGCCTCTTCTGATTGTGTGATTCATTCTGACAAGCCAAACATCCTTGACATTCTATATCTCTGGAGACTGGGAAACTGCTAGAAATGGTTCAGTGTCTCTAAACAAGACAATAAGGATTGGGCCTTACCATTTTATATTAAGCACTACTAGCCTTTGGTCTCATACTGACCAAGGACCATTTTTCCTCCCCGCTTACTCACTTACCTATCAATCAAACCTCTACTATTTGAACTCTAACATTTGAATCTTCTCTTAGATCTACCTCTGTTTCACCCATTCTTTCTTCTGGTTATCAAAGTAGACACTTTTCAAAAAAACCTACACAAATGGCCATCAGTGTAGTAACACTGTTCTGTATGTACCTAGATATTAAATATAATACTTCATTTGTATTGCCTTACTATACAAATCAAGTATATTTTAGGTGGCGACAAATCAGGCATAGCCCCAAAGTCAAAGCCAGAGCAACTTTAGACTGCTCAAATTATCAGACACTTTCAAATCTATGACAGACCTGGGCTGTGGAAATTGTGGATGCTGTTACATGGCAGTGTCAGGGGCATTTGAACCTCAATGCAGTGGGCATGCAGTTGAGGTTAATGAAACCTAAATCTCACAGCATGAGGCAAGCAGTAGGTCTACAGAAGCCCTATACTGAGAGTGTGTGATAAATCCATACCTATAAATATATAAATGTATGCCTGTTAGTGATGTAAATATATAGTATCTCCCACTTTCCAATCAAAAGGGATTAAGAGCTTACATGTGAATGTAAACCCTACACAGATGCATCAACTATTTTTTTTGATAGTAGTTCACAATTGGGTTGTGAAGATTTTTTTAACCCTCACTATTCTATCTGAACAATAATATATTCTAAGAGAGGAGAAGGAGGAAGGAAAGAGGACAAGATAATTTCTTTTCTTGAACCAAGTTCAAACTGTAACTTATTGAAAGCATGGAACAATACCTTCCCTATCATTTGGAAATATGAGAGACAAGACTAAACTAATAGCACCTGTTCTCAACTAAGCTTTCCTGCAAGCACCTGTAGGGAAAAGTCAAACCTAAAAGTGACCAGCCCCAAAGACTATTAGCGTTTAAGTGGTACTCCCCTGCCTCTAACAGGCACCATTTTCCATGCTTTAGTCCAAGTGTGGTTGGAGGTAATATTGTCATAATATGCTCAAAACTATCTAGAAATAAAATGCATACCAGCAAGCATGGACTCAACAATTATACAGCAATCTAACACAAGTACATTTGTGTATATGGCCGGCTTACCTGGAATACCACTCTGGATTTCTCTAAAAGATAAGTTCTCATATTGGCACCAATGATTCGATATCTCTTATCAAAACCAATCTCAATATACTTCCCAAAACGGCTGCTATTATCATTCCTGGTTGTTTTAGCATTTCCAATTGACTAAAAAGCAAGAGAGAAAATAAGATTTTAGACGTGTAATTAACAACATGACATTTACAGAATCTGCTCAGAGAGAGAAAAGATGGAGTAGAACACGGGTCCTTAAAACTGATTTTTTTTTTTTTTTTTGAGACAGAGTCTTGCTCTGTCACCATGCTGGAGTACAGTGT